GCCCCACGGCTGAAAGGGCGAGCATGTTTGGTGTGACGGGGATTCGAACCCGCGACCCTCAGACTGCGAGTCGAGCGCCCTAACCACCTGGCCATGCCGGGCCCCTTAGGTAAGACTCAACAAACGTCTTCAGAACATCTATTCCAACATGTCGGCCCCCGCCAACACAGTTTATTAAGTCACCTGAACGAAATTTGCTGAACGTTTACAACATTTCCATAAACTTCTTTGTGGCTACAAAAGCATTGTTTCCCTTCTTGTATTCAAACAGCATTAAATGCCGAATGAGTGTCTCGTCGTGTGCCATCACTATAAGGGATAAGAGTATACAAAATTTTACATATTATATAGGGTACACTAACGTGATGTTTAGGCGGTTCGTTTAACTATTATACGTGATGTATGTTTTTGGGGGATCGTTAATGAAAATGTTCAATAACGCGACATTAATTTCTTGACGACCTAATATATAGATTTTATGAATTGGAGATTATTATTACTGCTAACGGAACGTTGGCAAGTCCAAATATATGCTTAAAATAGTTTGAGTGAGTGTGACTAATAGTAAATTAGAAACTATGTATACGACTTTTAATATATCTGTGTAAATATATAGGTGCGTTATATAATGGACGAAAACATAAAAGGGGGCATTTAAAAATTATGGAAATATCACCAGCTAAATGTACCGAAATTTAAAATCGTCCTTTTTTATTTTTACTTTACTGCACAATAAGTAGCGAGAATAATGACCCCCTAATTAAAATTATACTGTCCATTCCCTCTTGCAATAAAAGCCAATATTAGTGTATCTAGTTTTACGAGTGTTAGGTAATATATTTTCGATACATATTTTAATTTATTTGGTACTGTACTTCTGTCAATAAATGGAACATAATTAGGTAAACCTTATTTTATGTTAACTGGCTGTTATTGTTTTAAGTTTAATAATTTTAACTGATGACAAATAGTAAATTATATTTAGCCTCTACTGCTCATCAAACTCAATTACACATTTTGATAACAAAGTTAGAAAAAGAAAACGACCTATAAACTCCAGAGAATTTTATAAAAAGACTTTTATTTCAAACAACTTTACGTCCAGAATAAGCCGCAAAGACTAAACGTTACTTGAAATAAAAGTTTTCTGATAATTATCTGGAGTGTGTAGGTAGTCTATTTTTCTCATTTTATTATAAGAATGTGTAAATCCCTCCGTTTCAAAGAGTAAAAAAAAAAAATCAATACACTTAATATAAATTTTATTACACTCCCAGAATACACAACATTCAGTCAGGGGGGGGGGGGAAACGTCACAAAACAAGTAATAAAAAAACGTTTTATAAATGTAAAATGATGTAGGGATGGCAGTGCCAAAAAGAATCCAAAACAAGGATGATACAGCTATACATAGATCATCCATACATGACTTTTAATATTACACTGTAATATGTACCAGTACAAAAGGGTCTATTCGACCGACTTTGTAATAATCATAACGTGTTTACTCAACTTGGTTTTCTTTATACGTAAATCCTAGGGTCTTAGTTATACTATATTGTTGCCTACCTCGACATGACCATATTTTGATAAACAAACGGCATGCCAACAGTCAGGAATATATAACTTACAACTGTAGTAATATTAAAATCAAGTATGTATCTTACAGTAACATTAAATTTTAATATTGAAAGTCACGTAGGGATGATCGTGTATAGATGTATCATCCCTACATCATTTTACATTTACAAATTGTTTTTTTATTACTTGTGTGGATATGTGTTAGTTTTCGAGTGTATTTAATTACTTGATTGATGGATAGGCTGCGAGGTTCTATAAGTACGTTTATTTTTACGTTAGTCTAGTTAGCGTGTCTATAAACGTGTCGGCTAACAATACGAAGAATTAAATTGTGGCGGAATGCTACGAGTTCTTCAAATACCTATAGAATGATAGGTTTCTTTTTTTGGGAGTGTAAAATACTTAAATTCACCATTTCGATACCTCACTACTATAAAGGCTTGGTTTGGTCTGGTATTTCATTGGTGGTAATGTCCAGGGTCACTGATGAGGAGTGGAATTCTCCGAAACTAAACACACCCCCAATGAAAGAATAGACCATTCCAAACTTTAACTTGTCTAGTTAGCGTGTCTATAAACGTGTCCTACAAGTTACCAGTGTGTTCAAATTTGTAGAAACGTTAAAGAAGAATACACATTAATTTTTTGTGGTTACGTGTGGTCTGGAAATTGAATTATTTTCACCGGATAATTAAAAAGAACCTGCCAATGAAAGAACATTAGAACAGTACTTTAATGATTTTATTAATATGTGAAACAATCACAATGCCACAATAACAAAATATTAAAAACTATCTACAAAATATACCAATTAAAAGTAAACAATCTAAGAAACTTATTGGCAATGTAAATAAAAACTGTTCTCAATACACTGTACCTGAGTAAAAAAACAAACAGTAAAAAATATTCGTAAATATAACTGGTACCTTGACTAAAATTCTGAAGGCATAAAGGTGTAGAAAATATTTCCTTTATCTACTGACTATTTAATAAAAACTATATTTAGTGAAAGCATGAAAATAAACTAGGTGAGATCTTAAAGATTGTTTCCTACTTAGAAAATATTAACCTGTTTGAATAAAAATACATCTATCATTCAGCCTACACTACACAGTCACATCAGTAGTGTCATTCCTATCATATTTCACTAAGTTTTATTGGATTTAAGAACAGTACTCCTCTTCCACCTTGCTGTAACTTGTGGTTTTTTTATTTTTATGACTGTAAATATAGGGAATTTAATAAAAAGCTTATGTTTTACATCAGTATATTAATTATTACTGGACTTAAGACGTTCACCTACTCAGGAGTCGAGAACTTTTCTTTCTAGTAACAACCACACACACAAGTATAGTTTGATAAACACATCAAATGATTAGTAGTAAAACACTAATAAATACACTTTATAATTCCTAATGATGTTTATTTCTTAACACATCATTTAAGAACATTCTAGCAACACAACCGTACTAGACACTCATCAATTCAATATTTGGTCTCCATATATTGATGTCTGTCTAGCTGTTGTTGTTTTTTTTACTCTAAGCTTCTATAGTTTAATGTTCAAAGTATTATAAAATTCACTACCTTTCAATATAAACACATTTGCTTAGTTTCCAGCCGAGTTTTTATACGATTCGTATTTGCTTTGAAAGTAGTAGAGAATATACATAGCTTTTTTTATATTCAAGGATCATTAAGATTTACCAAACACAAGTACATGTAAACAACAAGTAAGCTCGACATTTTCTGTCACAGGAATTACAACCACTTGGTTGTCATAAACTCACCCAGAAAAACAATTTTTCTCCAAAGGTTGCTACAGAATTCTGTAATCTCATGCATAGTGTCAACTTTATATTTAAAATGAGAAAACATTCTAAATGTTAATAATTATACGAATAAAATTCTATAGATGTACACAGCTAAATAGTTCAAACTTTCCTGCTTTTTCCCTGAATTATATGTTATGGCCTTGTGTAAAACTACTCCTGTGAAACAAACTTCTTAAATAAATAAATATTATAAAAAAGGAAATTAGTGGCAAAACAGTAATTCTCTTCTCAAAAAAAAAAAACATTTTGTGGAAAATATACATCATTTAATAAATTTTATATTTAGAATTAATACACATAACAAGACTTCCCATATGTTAGAAAGTCTTAGGTCATTTCCAGGTAACATTATAGACTACCAGAGTAACACAAAAAAAGAAGAAGAATATAGAAATAGCAAAATAAAATATTATGTAGCATATCGTTTTGTCCAAAGTCGAGCAACACGGTCATGTTCTTCTCGGTGCTGGAGATACTGGGTAGCAATACTTCCAACTAACGGGTCAGCTGAAACAGGTTTACACAACCAAAACTTCAACATTTGTCGTATCGTACAGTGTACATATTATTATCAGTAGAATGTTCTATGGATGTACATGTTAAATACAGAGTACATCTTGTTATCAGTAGAATGTTCTATGGATGTACATGTTAAATACAGAGTACATCTTGTTATCAGTAGAATGTGCTATGGATGTACATGTTAAATACAGAGTACATCTTGTTATCAGTAGAATGTTCTATGGATGTACATGTTAAATACAGAGTACATCTTGTTATCAGTAGAATGTTCTAGGGATGTACATGTTAAATACAGAGTACATCTTGTTATCAGTAGAATGTTCTAGGGATGTACATGTTAAATACAGAGTACATCTTGTTATCAATAAACCACTGGTAACATATCTGAATTACAGACAACAACTGTGTCTACCAATTGTACAGGTGGTAACTTACCTGGATTACAGACAACAACTGTCTACCAACCATTCAGCTGGTGATTACCTGGGTTACAGACAACAACTGTCTACCAACCATTCAGCTGGTAATTACCTGGGTTACAGACAACAACTGTCTACCAACCATTCAGCTGGTAATTACATGGGTTACAGACAACAGCCATGTCTACCAACCATTCAGGTGGTAACTTACCTGGGTTACAGACAACAACTGTCTACCAATTGCACAGCTGGTAACATACCCGGATTACAGACAACAACTGTCTACCAACCATTCAGCTGGTAATTACCTGGGTTACAGACAACAACTGTCTACCAACCATTCAGCTGGTAATTACCTGGGTTACAGACAACAACTGTCTACCAACCATTCAGCTGGTAATTACCTGGGTTACAGACAACAGCCATGTCTACCAACCATTCAGCTGGTAATTACCTGGGTTACAAACAACAACTGTGTCTACCAATTGTACAGCTGGTAACATACCTGGATTACAGACAACAACAACCATACAGCTGGTATCTTACCTGGGTTACAAACAACAGCCATGTCTACCAACCATACAGCTGGTAACTTACCTGGATTACAAACAACAACTGTGTCTACCAATTGTACAGCTGATAACATACCTGGATTACAGACAACAACCATGTCTAACAACCATACAGCTGGTATCTTACATGGGTTACAGACAACAGCCATGTCTACCAATTGTACAGCTGATAAAATACCTGGATTACAGACAACAACCATACAGCTGGTATCTTACCTGGGTTACAGTCTGTTAGTAGAGAACATATAGACAAGAGGACTTTGGAGACAGTGAGAGCAGGGCTCCAGTTATCTTTTAAGATATCAAGACATATCATTCCTTGGCTGTTGACGTTGCAGTGATAAATCCTTGTTCGAAAAGTTACCTACAATGAAATAATGTTTTACAACATAAGAGTATTAGATACCAGTCTCCTTTCTTCCAGGAATCTGAAGTTTAACCGTTTATCACTATAAAGAATGTGTTTATATTGAAAGGTAAAACTTTTCCTATGTAGCTTTATTGTTAAAAATACAATGTTTCCTGGACTAGTGCTACATTTTGTGACATCTCAATCCTCTCCGAGACTATTGGGGAGATAATGATTTTATCTGGTGCAATAAAGTGTGTGTGTGTGCAAGTGAGGTTGCACTGGTGCAATGATAAATGTTAAAATATATCAATATAAAACTAAAAGAGAAGCTAAAAAACCAATAGTTACATTCAAGGTACGTTCTCGATGTCAGAAAAACACGTAGGTTCAATAAGTCTTGATACAAAATGATAAGAACCCCCATAACCAGAGAACTTTCGAAAAGTGGACCTTTCTTCTTCAAGGGCAAACTTTGCAGACATTTCGAAAGTCTTCCATCATCATGATCTGAAGACAAAAGGCAGAAGACTTTCGAAACATCTCCAAAGTTTAGCCCTGAAGACAAAAGGCAGAAGACTTTCGAAAGTACTCAGGTTATGGGGGTTCTTATTTCATTCATGGTAAACAGAAGTTGGGTAATTTATCCAAAATGTCATTCCCTAAAAATAAAACTTTGTACAAGTGAAATGGAAATCACTGATATATGTAATGTAGTCTGTACGAATGTTACCAAATTCTTTAAATTCAAAAATAATTTGAATATTCTCGTTGCGCATGAGCATCCATTCCTGTCAGATATCCCTCAAAGCTGCCCAAATTGTTAACAGTTTTATCTGGAGGATTGGAAGCATCAGTCATCCTTGGCTATATTTATTCTACTTGAGTAATAGTTTTATACGTACATTGTAAATGAACATCCAGTGATACACTACACCACTCATTCCAATAAGAGATTAACACTATGTGTACGGATGAGGGTCAAAGTTCACAATATTTTAGACAGTACTTTTAAACATGGTATCGTGTATTTCATATCAGAGTTATCATTTATTCATTTTATTGGTGATTTAGTGACAGTTTGTGGTAGAAAAGCATGAATACCGGATACAATATATAGGATTGTTGAAATAAAATGTTGGTATGGATTACAGAGTTTCAAGGGTTTATGTAAATGCAAGATCCAAACTATACAAGAAACACAAGTATTTTTATTGTTCCCACGAATATTACTTTGTACTCTGACTTGTCAGAGTATCATTGTCAATACATAGACATAGCAATGATTTTGTAATACTTCTGATTTATTTTATGTACAACATACTTGTACATTTTACTAAAAGCTTGCCATGTTTCACAAAGATACACATAGTAAATTCAGAATTACAGTCAACATTCCAACTCCAATACAGAGTCAGAACAATGAACCAACTCTTGCACATCAGTTAATGTTTCATCAACCCTACACATATCAGTCATAGTTACTGTACAGAGGTGAGATTTCCAACATAACCATGGAAACAACCACATGCCATTAACCAATACAAATATTAGAATGTAAATGGACTCTTCTTACGAAGTTCTTGCATTACCGTTATTAGCATGTGAATATCGTAAACAGATAAGTAAAGCTGGGTAACGAGTGAGATTTGCTAAACGATTAATCGTCGAGCTCATTATTAGATTACATTCAATTAATTTATTATTCTCACATGAGAATTGGACAGTTGGAATAACTTAAAATAGTAATACTGTATTGGCCCAATTATAAGGCGATCTTGAATAAAAAAGCAAACCCCATTTTCCTAAACCATGGGAAAGAAGAAAATCAAGTGTCATAACGTCATTTTTTTAGGTCTGTGAAACAGCTTTCTTGTAGAATGTGCATTACGGAGTTCAGTCTTTTGTTTTCGGCAATGCTTCACTTCAGTTACAACAAATTTTCTAGCAGCAATACAATTGTTTATTTTTATGCCTCACACACCACCATAATTTTAAGATTTGCATAATAAATCCATCGTAATCCTTTGTTACTTTGACAATTTCTTATTCCCTGTCTTTCAATGTGGTCACTCATTCTTGCACAAGGGTCCACCATTAAAATGATTCTCAAAGATAATTATTATAAAATTTAAAATGAGCACAGTCCAAGCAATAATGCACAAGCAAGATAAATAATGTAACTGAACAGCCTGCAGGTGATTAGTTGCAAGAATTACAGATGACTTTGAGCAAATATATGGCACGCATGCACGGACATATCCTATCTGGACATTCAGGAATGCGACAGGCTAGAGTAGGGGGAAGGGGCCTGTGGCCAACCATGATTATAAGATGACTATGAATTTTACAGCCTAATTATTAAACAAAAAACATTGCCTTATAATCGGGCAAATACAATAATTAGAAATACTAACTTAGGTTGATTGAATACTTTTGTGACTTGTGACACTAATCAAACCAATTGAACAAACTTGAATTAATCAAAACCAGTAACAATCGTTAACACTAATTTTGGTTAGTTGATTATTTTTTACGACATTACTTAATTTAATTGGAACTGTGATTAACTGATTATTTTACATGATAGTATCTGATGTAATTGATGCTCACAGGTAATCAATTATATCACTCAGGTTTAGCAGGTGTACAACTTTCTTTGCATCCATTACAGTAGTATTTATGTCCAATATCTGAAAACCTGATACAAATACGTACCTTTGGTGGTTTGAAAGGATAATCAGGTGAAAAATGAATGTCCAGAAAAAAAACGCCTCCTTCGTAAACTGACCCTGGAGGTCCAAGGATGGTAGAAATCCACTCGTATAGATTGTCCCCTTTTGGTCCCGCACTGTGGAAGATCAGAAAAAGTGACTAGAAACACATCTACTGATTAAAATATAAAAATAACATGAAGGATATTGTACAAAAATTAAACAGTTAACTTGCTTTATAAATGATCTTTTTAACGTAATCAACAGCTACCTCAATCCACCATTTAATAACTGTCAATACCCTGAATTCGTATCCGTCATCAGTGTCCACAAAAAAAAGAGAAAAATCACAGTTAACCTAAACCTTTTAGCGAGGCTGGGGATTATTTAGGTAACAGTATATCAAGGTTGTTTAGATTTAGTATCTATTGTAGTAGTAGTCTCCAGTGTGAAACGCTAACAAGATGTTAATGCTACAAAGTATATGGTGTATGAAACAATAATTTAATTTTGAAATTGATTTTAATTCTGACATTGTAAAAATTCAACTCAGGCAGACTTACCTCTGAACTATTGAAAGCCAGATTACCTACATTGTAAAGGAGGTGGGAACGATAAACCATGATTACGGGGAGGGAGGATAAGCTACCTAGAGTACAAACAAGAAACTTGAAACAAGCAGAGTTGGAATAGAATCCAGAATAAGAAATAAATTATTAAAACTAGAGTCTAACAAGGACGAATGGAGTGGACAAGCTTTATAAAAAAAAAATACTGGACCTAAAAAAAACCCATAATAAAGGGATTCTTCTCAGCAGAGAAGACATGACACTAGTTGTGAGTGGCAATAGTTTATATCATGAGTAGAGCCTAGAGTGGTAGAAGAAATACTGTGTCCTGCTCCTGCAGTGGAAGGCTCTCAGGGGAGTAGCCCAAACACATATAAGTATATCCTCCAGGAGCTGTAGTCCTTCTTCATCCATATCTAAAATAGACAGGGAGTCACAACTAGTCACATAAGTGGGCACCCAGGGAGACCTATGACCCAAGCAGACCCCAAAGACTAACACAACAAAGCAGTCACAGTGCAATGGGAACATCAAGGTATATATATAATGAAAAACTTGGATGACCACAATCCTGATTGAAGTGGGAACATCTAGTGAAATCTCCACTGCAACACAAAGACATGCACACAGAGGTGGGACAGGTATCTGCCGAGACGTCATCAGCCACTAGATGGCACCCTTAGTCTCCACTGCAACACAAAGACATGCACACAGAGGTGGGACAGGTATCTGCCGAGATGTAATCA